GAGTCTCTTTTGCCCTGATCTATATCTATATTGTTTGTTGAATTTATAAATTATCAATCATGAGATCAACATTTTCCGATTCTCAATCTTTCAATGTTATTGGCTGTTGATAGGATTTTCATTAAATCTTTAAAATTATATTATTTCATGGGCCAGTTTTAATAAGAATGGAACTCACAAACTTTCCTACCTTTGTCATTGGTCATCTGCAGACTTACTTTGTTAAGATACTTTATGAATCTACACACACATACTCCAAACTCCCATGGGTACTATTGTGCCGCGTTTTAAGTAAACCTGTTTTTATTTTCTTGTGAAGCAGAATTTATATTTTAAAAAAAATTCTATATGAAAAGAAGTCTCTTGTTGTAACATCCAATTCAACATCTAGACTTTTCTATGACGTTTTATTGATAAACAATATTCATTTGCCTGTTTGGCGCAGTGGTTAGAGCATTTGCTCTAGAGTCAAGGTGTGAGGAGCTGATCCTTAAGTCTCGGGTTCGAATCCCACGGCGGGACATGGAGGCTGGTCCTTCGGATGAGAGTCCAAGGTCCTGTGTTGCAGTAAGTACTGGCACGAAAAAGATCCCTCACTGCTCAATGGCCCTGAGTACCGAGTATACATATAGGTCTAATTTGCAGTCCTTCACCCATTGAACTCGAAATAAAAGACACCATAAAGTCTGATACAACTGCTACATATTTGGATATTTTTCTAGAAAAATGATGACAAACTAACAACTTAACTTAGTGATAAACGTGATGACTTCAACTTTTTTATCATTATCTTCCGTTTATGGTGTTCATGTTTCACAGATGATTCGAAACACAAGAGCATGTTCTTCGTAAGAACATTTTTAAACGAGGCACGCTACTGAAAATGCGTTGATTATACGAGGGTTCAACAATCTTTTTTGAAGTAAACCTTATGAAAATAATATGATCAATAATATGACCTTGTTTGCAAACACAATCTCTCCATGAGTCGAATAGTGACTGACGTCTTTCATACAAACTGTTAGACGATTATTTTCATACTGAATTGACTATGAATTTCTCAGTTTGCACAATCATGACATGAGCGTAGGGCTCGTGTGACCAGTCAACATTGTACGTTTACTACTCCATGGCACCTGATCCAAAAAATAGTTTTTTACAAGTCTGTTTTTGCTCTGCTCACAATATGTAATATTTCATTGGACTTTTGAGCATGATTACTGGTCATTTACTTCATATTTCAGCATTTAATCTGCAAAAATAATTTTTAGTTTTACAACAGTTTCCTGCTAGCAATCCTTTTATGTATCATTCATGTTCATTTTTTTTATGCTTTCCGAAACAGTTTGAAATTGTGACCTTCTGTCTCTCCGTCTGACAACATAAATTTTCTATTCTTATCCATTTACTATGGTTTAGCTATCTTTGCTATTGTTTTATTTTTTACTTTTTCTCACTTATTTAAAGATTCATTAACTGATCATTACAAGTTAAAAAGACACACTCTGTTATATTATATTAAATTTATAGGTTTCTCATAATAAGCTATGGTTTAAAAAAGTCATAATGTATACAAATAGAGTTGCACTGACTGATATTTCTCCGAACCACTGTTAAAAAATTCTCTAGTTCAAAGGGCAATAACTCTCATTATTCATTTGCTGCGGAAGACTTTTGAAATGGCCACTGATTATTTTTACTAGTAATGCTTTCATTAGACTTAGAAATTCTACGCTTTCAAAGGGTTTAACACTATTTAGTTAGTCCATTAGGCGGAAAACTGTGTCTTATTTATAACCGAAAGATAAAAGATATAAGAAGGGCATCAGTGCTTATTTAATGTTTCTAAGAAATATATATCAGGAAAAAGGTATCACTTTCCTAAAATCGATTTCAGTTATTACGAAAATGATAGAGCGCCTTATCATTTTCTTGCTAAGGAGGAATGAAATGAACGTTGAAATACGAAAATTATACACCTTAAGAAAGTGCGTCGCTTGCTTTAAACAAGAAATACTTGTGTGAGTTATATGTTTAATATCCTTAGAACCACTTAGTGTCCAATTCTCGTTTCATCTGGAGAAAAGAAGTAAAATAAATTTGACATCATAAAATCCAAAACGGCATAAAAGCTGGCATGATTATCTTTCTTAGCAATCTTTGTATGAATGAGGCCCCTATGACATGCATATTACAGTCCAACTGCAAAAATTGTAAACTTTCGGTTTCAATATTTGATACACGGTGTATTTATTATATCTTTTATACATGTAATACCGTAAAAAGAGATTTTTCAAAGAAATAAACACACAGAAGAAAAATATGAACTACCAATAGTTACTTTCATTCATATGTCAACTCGATGTATCCCAGTGAGCTAGAGATAAACGGTATCACAGATTCTGACACATCTGTTTCATATTTAGATATTTTACTTGAAAAAGACGTTAATGGTTACATAACAACAAAGCTTTATGATAAACGTGATGACTTCAACTTTTCAATCGTCAACTTCCCCTTACTTATGTAGCAATATACCCTTATTACCTGCATATGGGGTTTATGTCTCTCAGTTGATTCGATATGCAAGAGCATGCTCTACGTATGAACAATGTCTAAAACGAGGCAAGCTATTGACAAACAAGTTAATGATACAAGGACATCAACAGCCTCATTTGAAGTCATCTTTTCGCAAGTTTATCATTCGATACAATGACCTTGTCAGCACATACAACCTATCATAGAGTCAAATGCTTACTGAGGTTTTTCATAATAATTGTTAGGCCATTATTTATACATTGAACTGTCTACGGATTTCTCTTTTTATTTTATTTCTTGTATTAATATTTCTTTATTAGTTTGTTACAAAAAAAAAAAAAATATTTGACTCTTTAGACTGCAACAAAGATACATATACGTCATTTGATTTCACAGTTTAGACCTTTCAAATGTCTCTTGCGGTATGCTTTATATTCACAAGAAAGTCTGATTACGTAACTAACTTCATGTCATCAAAAATTAAATGTCAATTTTCTTAGTAATGTCATTCAAAGAGACATATTGGTAAATGTAATTATATTTATTAAACTCATGTTTTAGAGGTATTCTTTTTTAGTTCTTTCTCGCATACTTCATCAAACATGAATCTTATGAAACCAAAAAAAGTATGTGTTGTAACCAGTCAGTGTTTGATATATATATATATATATATATATATATATATATATATATATATATATATATATATATATATATATATATATATATATATATATATTTCAGGAAAAAAATTAATATATTCTTTTAGAGTATCTTACCATCAATGTAGAAAAAATGCATATTTATTTCTTTACTTAGGATGTTGGCGAATATGCTAATGAAAGATGATATTTCTGGGATAGAAGCAAATCATTGTTTCTTTGTGAATATTTCCTCCTCTAAGTTGTTTTTTCAGCTTTTATAAACTCTAGAAAATGTTAAAGTAATAGTGCAACGCGCCGAGTATTATATCATTTCCGAAAAAAAAAACAAAAGTTGCTTCCCTACAGTATATGTCTGTCATCCTTTTCATCTAGCCTGGGATCTGTGTAACATGTTCTTGTGGTAATTATCTTTTCACATGTGTGTTTTGGATTTTTTTTTTATCAGAGAAATTTTATGTCAGCTTTATCACTTACATCAGCTCTTATACTTCCAAGACATATATTTCTTTGATTTATCAATATATCCGGACCTTCTCATAAAAGGCACAGATTTGAAAGCTGATTTATTTTAACATCGGTTAATCACCGAATGTTTAACAAAATGTTTGAAGTTATTTCTACTCAGCCTTCATTGATCTATTCTGACCTATTCTGCAATATTCTATTAATAAATCCAGAATGTGATTTGTTTCGGGTATCAAAGGAAATGTTGCATTACATTTAGATGAAAATTAATCCTCTTAAGAATTTTTTCCCTTGCTTTAGAGTTCTTAATTTGCTTACTATCTATAGCATAGAAATTAAAGTATTCGTAATAAGAAAAACATATCTCGGTTTGTTATCTCAGTGGGGGCATTGTCATAAAATTAAGATGCCTCATCTCACAAAATGCCAGCGGTTATCATTATCTATGCACTAATTAATCTTATATTTCATAAAGAATAAAAAAACAAAGACGCCGTGATTTTCTACTGTAAGAAAAATACCAGACTCCTAGTGTACACGTACACTCTTCTGCGAACTATTTTCTTATTCAAATAACTTCTTACAAAGATTTCTTCAACGAAATACAAAAAGACATCTTTTTCATAATCTATGAAATAATGATCGATGTTTATTGGCAGCTTGACCAAGGCAAACTATAAACAAATTTATTGATGTTACAAGGATTTCAACAATTCCTTTTGAAGTTCAGCATTTAATTATTTCGTTAATAATAATGACCTTGTTTGTAAAACAACCTATGATTGGGTCATATTTTGTCTGAGACTTTTGTTACCATTTGTTTGGCCATTGCTTTTATACTAAATTTGACTAAGATGTACTCAGTATACCTGATCAACAGATACGGCGTGTGTGACTGGCCGACAGAGGGTGTTTACTCCTCCTAGGCACCTGATCCCACCCCTGGTGTTTCCAGGGGTCCCTGTTTGACCCTGTTCAATATTCCATAGTTTACTGAATTTATAAGATTTCTTTTTTTATAAGATTTTCTTTCTTTCTTTCTTTCTTTTTTAATCTTTAACTTTTGTAAAACATGTATACCTTTGTGTAAAATTTTTGGTACTTTAGAGTTAATTTGACTGTGAGTGTATGTATAAAGATGCATATATATGATACGTCCTGGATAAATTAAGGCCAGTCTAACAGGTGTTGTGATATATTGGTCCTTAAATATTAATTTATCCCTAAAAATTGATTCTCATTTTAATATGATTAGATTTGGGATTGGGATAAATACAATGTAGCTTGAAGTGCGACAAGAAGTTAGATCAGTGATGAATAAAGAAAAAAAAATACTGGTTTCTCATTTCATTTATTTTTGCATGAAGTACTCATTTCATTCCAAAACACAATGTTCAGCTTGCCAAAATTTTTCGGTCAAGAACATAAATGACAAATATTGATAAGCTTTATTTAATTTCTCGTTTTTTAGACGGCGTGAAATTCCAAACATTATTTAAACAAAAATTGTTCATAAAAAGCCTAGCTAGGTCCATAGAGCCAACATGCTGATATTTAATAGTTAATACGAGGAGTTTAAGAATTCCTGTTAATAAACTCTGTGTGTGTGGTCGTTTGTTAAGAACGGAAAGGTATACATTTTCCTTCAGGCCACACGTTGGTGGCAATTTTTTTCGATACTAAAATTTTATAAGATTACTTTCTTTGAATCGTTTTCAAAATTTTAACGTTGCCATACTTTTTTGTTAATCGCTGACACTTGATATATTAGTATATAAAATGTTTTGCCTCTTTTAAACATATCTTTCTTCATTTGTCAATAGGGGATCGCCTCTGTTCCTGACGTAATTCCTCCAAAACGTGGTCACTCAGGGACACAGAATCACTATCAAAACTTGGGGGATTTGCAGCAAGGTAACATTTGCCAACTGGTGAGTAATCCGTCTGAGCATTGCAGTTTTTAGACCTCAATGTTTCTCCTCTAAGACGCTCATCACCTTTGATGCTTCTAATTGATCTCGATTTCCCATTTTGACAAGATAAATTGGTATTTGATCGTTCTTTCTGGTCATAAAAAGAGTATCTCTGTATTAGCTTAAATCTATCGGAGTTTCTGCATTTACAGCTGAGAATATTTCTAAAGGCACGCTTGAATTCTTTACTTGAAAAACCATAGATCACAGGGTTCATCATGGAGTTGCAGTAACCAAGCCAGAAAATCACCTTAAACACATTCTCTGGAGGGGAGCACTTACTGCAAAGGGCACCTATAAAACAATAAAGATGGAAATGAGTCAAAAAACAAAACTTTTATATATGTGTGCATATTCATGTCACCACGAACTATTAAGAATTCCTGACGGAAAGAATGTAATGCTGTTTGAAAACTATATTAGCAGATGATGTTTTATGACCCTGTAATTATCATTTGAGGTGCTCATATAAAACAAACGTGTTTCCCTTAATACAATCAGAACGAAGAAAACAAAATAATTGTTTAGAATTATTAGCGAGAACGTCAATTGTGAATGCCATAAAAATAATCAGCAGTCAGCATGATCTTAGAGCATCACAAGCATAAAGCAGCATGAAAACTTTTAAGATGTAATCAAATCAGCAGGTCTTGAAATTCGATAAATGCCGTTTCGGAGGAAAGATTTTACACACTTGTCGATATTTAAAAAAAAAATGAAATTAGATACATTAAACAATCGTAACTTAAAAAAAAATCTTCACATACCATATACATGAAAAAAAAATGAAATTTGGAGTAGACTTGGTAAATGTCTTACAACATAGTTTTTTTAATATATACATTTTATTTCTTACCAATCTAATTTTGGCAAGATACATTATTACTACAAAAATAAGTAATTGATTGAATTGACTTGTATTGTACAGTGTATGTGTGTTAATGCAATAACGTAAGTGCCCAGAAAGTATGTGTGCGGGTGTAAGAGAGAGAGAGAGAGAGATAATATGTTAAGGGTCGTTTTAATTTTGTTGGCGAGGAGAACATGTATACAAAGCAAATAAGAATTTGCTATGATGAAAACCATCTGTATTTTAGGCTCAAAAAGTACAGATCTACAAATCCCCCAGAAGCACATTGTTACATTGTTAAAAAACATTCTGATTGTACACACAAGTACTCCGAAGTTGACATTAAAAAAATGCTTGAGTTTCTGATTAACAATATCTTTATATGTGGTTTTTGGAGACCAGGTCTTCCAACAATCTATTGGAATTCCAATGGGTACCAATTGCGCCCCGTTATAAGCAGACCTTTTTTGTATTCATATGAAGCAGAATTTGTCCAAAATCTTATACGTGAAAAGAAGAAAACACTTGTTGTGGCCTTCAACTCGACATTTAGATATATCGACGACGTATTGTCAATTAACAATGGTTATTTCCATCCTTATGTCGATACGATAAATCCCGATGAGCTTGAGATAAAAGATACCACAGAGTCTGACACATATGTTTCATATTTGGATATTTTACTTGAAAAAGACGTTAATGGTAATCTAACAGCCAAGCTTTATGATAAACCTGATGGCTTTAACTTTTCAATCGTCAACTCCCTTACTTATGCAGCAATATACCTTCATCGCCTGCATACGGGGTCTATATCTCTCAGTTGATTCGATACGCACGAGCATGCTCTACGTATGTACAATTTCTAAAACGAGGTAAATTATTGACAAACAAGTTGATGAAACAAGAATATCAGAGGTCTCGTTTAAAGTCATCAATTCGTAAGTTCTATGGTCGATACGATGACCTTGTCAACAAATACAATTTATCAGCATTATTGAGTCAAATGCTGACTGACGTTAGACCATTATTTACACACTTAATTGTCAACGGATTTTTCCGTTATTTCCCGATCATGATAAGGAGCACATGCACGGCGGATGCGACCGGTCGGCAGGAGATACTCACTCTTCCATGGCACCTGATCCCACCTCTGATGTTTTGGAGGTCCGTGTTTGCTCTGCTCCTATTTTGTATTGTTTAATGGACATTTGAGCTTGAATACTGTTCGTTATCTCCATACATTTCATGCATTATATATATAATAGATCACCAGACCATCATATAAAATACTGATTTACAAATACAACTTTCGACATGCTGATAGAAATAATTTAATTTGATAGTAACTCTAAGTAGTACTGTTGAATACAGCAAATCATGCTTATAGCGAATTGTCAGGAAAAATTTTTGTTTGTGCTTTTGCCTTATTATTATAAAACTATCTCTCTCGTTATATTATGATATTAAAACAATACATTTAAAACCACAGGAAACGAAAATGTCACTTCTTTGTAAGTGTAAATTCATTATAAGTATGTTTGCTACATATATGAGCGTGTTTTACTGTAACTATTAAATATCAATACTCATCAGAGATTGACCACTCAAATTGAATTCATATCAAAGAAAATAGTTTTTGATCCTAACAATGACACAGAAGCAGGATCATTTTCACCATAAGAATGTGTTTTAGGTAAACGGGGTGAGAGAGGTATTAGTGTATGTTATGCTTAATTCAAAGCAAAATAACAGTTCACTGTGTTTGCAATGATGAGTTTTGGGTCTTAAATACGCTCACTTGTGCTTTGTATTGGATCTTAATATTTATATAGAATCTCCAATGGTTTGTGGTTGGATATGATTTTTATCCAACAAGTTGTGTGTTTTTCCCCAAGCCTTGACGAGGGGATAAAACCACATGAGTTGGATAAATTTAGATATTACACTTCGTGTTGCTATATGTGGCAAATGACACAGAATAAAGAATTCATTCATGTATTCTAGCATCACACATATCCAGTTAAATTTAAACTAAAGGTCTCAATTTTCCGTAAATGGCTGTCTATTTTCAAAATCAATTAAAGTCAATCTAATTGATTATCTCATTGCACTGTGGACTGATTTTTCTTTCATAAATATTTTCAAAATCAATTAAAGTCAATCTAATTGATTATCTCATCGCACTGTGGACTGATTTTTCTTTCATAAATAAAATACTGTATTTGTTGTTTTAGTTTATGAAAGGTAAATGGATCTGTGTGATGAATTTGAATTGAAATTGGGTTACATTTTTTTTTCTATTCACATACATATTAACTTTTATAGAGAGTTTACGCCTGAATAAAATATAAAATGTACTCTTTGATCATTCATAACGACAAAGAAACCTTTCAGTGTTCACTTAGAAGCATTATAATGTCTTGTTACCCATTCTACACAATCGATCTCAGCACTCCTGTCTTTGAACCGATATAAAATATCAATAAACGTTACTGTCCTTTTTTCAGTAAAATCAAAAGAAAATGGATGCAAGACAAGTGCCAAAGGATCAAAAGCAAAAAAATTGTCGATAAAATGTGTCGATGAATGTTTTTTTTTTTTTTTTTTTCAAATTGTTTCAGAAGACTGGATTCTTGGTATGTTGACTGGGAAACTAATCGTGGTGCATTATTCTGAAAGAGAAATCGGGTGTTACCTGACTTACAAAATACGGAATTTTAAATTAAATGCGAGTGTTAAGTTTGTGTTTTGCGTATGACAATCCGCAGACCAAAAGATATCTCTAGAATAATGTTTATTACGGGTAGATTTTATAAATGTAACAGTGAAATTCCTTCACAATTCAGTCCCAGATTCCTCCTTTGCATAAAACCATTCATTTTAGTTCTACCTTTCTTTGTTTTTGCAAAAGTAACACCAAAAGTTAGACTGTACTGAATTTGCCCTCTAGCATCTTATCCCGGCTTAACATTACATAAAGCACATGGCAGCGTTGCTGGATAACATGCAAAACATTATAGCTAATATGCATAAAACAGCTTTTCTCTGATCTTTATTTAAACAAGCCACATTTATTGGCTTACAAGGCGTTCCTTTTTGATAACCTTAAAAACACTTTATGAAAGACAACAGAGCAATAAGTAAAAACGTTGAAATTAAACTCAGAGACAACAATCGCCGTTTCAGTGTAATATTTTTGTTTTTACTTGCCAAGATTATGTATTACTTGCCAAGATTAGGTATTTATGATTTGTGTATAAATGAAATGTGAAGTTGAGGATTTTTTTATTTGACTGGCCATTAGAACATATTGCTTTTTATTTGACTGGCCATTAGAACATATTGGTTTTTATTTGACTGGCCATTAGAACATATTGGTTTTTATTTGACTGGCCTTTAGAACATACTGGTTTTTATTTGACTGGCCATTAGAACATTTGTTGCATTTTTCAGGCATCGAATAGTACTATCGTGCTATCATCTGATAATTGAATAAATTCTAACATTATCCCCCGCGTGGCGCAGTGGTTAGAGCGTTTGCTCTAGAGTTGAGGAGTTATCCTTACGTCGCAGATTCGAAACTAAAGTGACTGTCTGACGTGGAGAACGGTCCTTCGGAGGACACCGTATAAACCGAGGTCTCGTGGCGCAGTAGGTGCTGGCACGAAGAAAAATCCTCACACTGCTCAAAGACCACAAGTGTCGAGTACAGGTCTAAATTAACAGCCCTCCAACGGCAAGAGGTGGCACCTCAGATCGGTGAAAAATGCTCGTAGGAACGTTGAACAAAAAAATCCCCATTTTCTCCTTTATAATAATATGAAATTTAATTAATTAACACTCAAAATTACATGGATTTCAATTTTATATAAAATACATGTACATGTAAATGTGCAAAATCTTTGAACAAAGAGCAAAAAAGAGAATTAAATAATCAATTGTTAACGAAAGTCAGTACATGAAAAATACACTTATATAAGACTTATATTAAGACGTCATAAACAAAAATAAATCTTAAATACATTTGTCAAATTGAACAATCTTTGAATCACTGAAGTGCATCTTCTTTCTTTTATTCAATTTATCTTTCTTTCGATTTGATTGATGAAGATAATACTGATGATGATGATGATTGTCACATTAAAAAAATCCTATCATACATTTGGTAATGTATTTTAAATTTTCATGTAGATATCCCCTGGGGAACCCCTTCGTTTTAAACGTGTTATTACTGTACATATCCTTCACTGAACCTCAGTTCACTGGACCTTAAAACCCGCCAGTCCGTGCCAGTTAGTTTGGACGCGGCAGTCCAGAGAGGAGGACGCCTCTATCTCCTCTTATATCTTTGTTTTTTACATGTATGTACCCTTGTGATTCATGGCAGTGCTTGCTCTGGTCTGATATTAATTTTAGCAGTGTAATGGTCCAGCTTTTCTGAGGT